GGTTAATAAGTTTGAAGAAATACTTGTGGACACAAACTACACAGGGGGCCGTGTCCAGGCTGGGCCATCATTGCTCCGGGTTCACAGGGAGCAGACATCTGTGGCCAGGACGGGGGCAGCCAGCAAACCTGACAACAGCCGGCTGAACGGGGGCAGCCAGCAAACCTGACAACAGCCGGCTGAACCAGTGTGACACCTGACCCACAGGACCCCTTCCCCGTTCGCGTCGTGGGGCTGCTGCTGTCCTCACTCCAGGCTCCTTCCTTCCTGGACTCGAAAAGCCCAGGAGGCCCCATCAGGGGAGAAGTCAGGATGCCTCCCCTTTCTGCTGATTCCTAAGTGGTAGAGTTTGACACCTTGACCGGTTGCATCTGTCGACCCCTGACACTCCTCCCTTCCCTGACGCGGGGAGGATCCTCTGTCTGAAACGCCATGGGTCCCAGGCAAGGGCTTGAGACCAGGAAGGAGCATAGGGCTTTCTATTGCTCCCAAGCTTGTAATACTGACACCATCAGTGCCCACACACTGACACCCCCGCTGGGGTCCCTGAGGAGAGTCTCCTCTGGGTACAACGTCCCACATCAAGTCCCCAAACCTGTTTGAGCGTGGCATGCACAGATACAGCAAAACCGGAACCTTATAAGGGTGTAGCTGGCACACAGGTGAGTCAAACTGTGTCAGGCGGTTCTCAACGGGCCCTCGGAAGGCAAGGGCCCAGCACCCGTGGGGAGCCTGGCCGTGAGCCAGCGCAGCAGACGGAAGGGCGTGTCCCTGCAGGCCCTGCCAGGCACCCAGCACCCTCAGCCAGAGGCAAGATGTGGGGACCAGGGGACACACCGACTTACAGCACGGTCACCGCAGCCCCACGGGCACTGAACGGACAAGCAGCTCCAGAGCCCCCTGAGAACAGGAAGAGTGACAGGAGAAAGGCGCAGGGAAGAAGCAGACGCACAAACAGCCGACAGATACGAAGAGTTTCAGTTCACTAACACCTAACACACAAATCAAAACCAAAGGACAGTGTTCTAATCGGGAGAGGATAAGAAAATGGAGCTTTGGAGGGACGGAGAGGGATGGGTAGATATGAAAGAGGGCATATAACTTTCTATAAGAAAACTTAGCGATATGTACCAAAAGCCTTCACCCAGAAATTCCACTTCTAGGAATTTGTCCTCAAAAATAATGAGAGTTCTGAACGGATTTAACAGAATCAGTATTCTTTATCTACTTTATATGCTTATTCAAAGATTTAAATAGGAAGATGTTATTCACAGCGTTTATTATAGAAAAAGTTGGAAATGCAAGATTGGTTAAATTAATCAGCATGTAGTCATTTTGAAAATATGTTTTCCAAAAATATTTATGACAGGAGAAAACATTTGCAGCTTACACCGTGAAGTTGGAGCGGGGAGAGTGTAACATGCCTACAAAACACAGTCCTGATTCTGTAAAGCAAAGACGAAGGCACACATCCCGGATACAAAGGGTCCGAAGGCCATGCAGCAGCCCTAAGCCACGGCTCATCTTTGGACCAGAAAAGTAACCCGCCCGCCCACTCCCCGCCCCTGCCTAATAAGGTTTCTAAGCTATAATGACACAGGTATTTGTTTAGACTCCAAAAAGGCCTCTAACGAAGTAGTGAAAACTGCATAGAAGCCTCCTGTAGTGTTATTCTCCCCCAACACAGCAGACACTGCCCTGTGAGTGTACACGCGGTCCTCCGTCCCTCCTCGGAGAAGTACCCCCGTGCGAGCACTGGGACTGGGGCCCTGGGGGGAGGGCAGCACAGAAGAGGGGTCAGAGGACAGAGGAGCCTGCCTGCGGGGTGGAAACGTGGGATGGGCTTAGGGGAGGGTCTCAGGGCAGAGAAGACTCAGGGACAGCATTGTGAGTGGGGCCAGGGAACATGGATGAGACCATTGTGGGACCCAAAACGGGGCTCCAACCAGAGGGTGGGTGAGGGTGCAGCACCTGCTGAGAGAGGGTACTGTGTTCCTCCGCGTTCTCAGGCTGCATGAAAGGCACCGCTGAGAGTTCTCCATGGTGCTGTGCTGCTTCCTACTTCTCCTCACATGACAACTCGTCACCAATGGCTTTGTCCCCTGCGGACTCTCCCAGCACTGGCTTTCTTGTACCCTCTGGTGGGCCACGACTTGCTCCCCCCAGATACCTGCAGGGCCCCTCCCTCCCACGTAAGCGGAAAAACAGGGGCCCCACAGCCAGAACTGGGGAGTCACAAGTATTAAGGCAAAAGTGTTTGGGAAAGTGTAAGAGGCTACATGAGGGGGGAGAGCCACAGGGTCAAGAAATACTGTCCCCAAAGCTCTGGGAATTGACCAGCTGACCTCAACCATCCTGAGTGGATCAGAGGTGGTTTTTAGACCAAATATCCTGAAATGCAACAGAATCCTGACCTGCAGGCTTAACTCTTACAACTGTGGGTGCTGTGCAGTTTTCGAAGTGCTTTCTCGCGCATCGCCTCGTTGGGTCTGAGGAGGTAACAGAGCAGGTACCATGCCCATTTCACAGATGAACAACTGAGGCTCAGAAAAGTTAAGTGACTTGCATGAACACTCACAGGGTAGTAGATGTCAGAACCATCTGGATTCAGCTCCCCTGGCACCAGTTAGCTCACATACAAACCCTGCTGCATTTAGGTTAAATAAAGTCATCACTGCCCTAGCGGTTTTGCTTGGTGGATAGAGCGTCAGTCTGTGGGCCAAAAGGTCCTGGGTTCAATTCCGGTCAAGGGCATGTACCCCTGTTGCAGGTTCCTCCCTGGCCCACCCTGGTCAAGGCGAGCACAGGAGGCAACAAGTCAGTGTGCTTCTCTCTCTCACATAAATGTTTCTCTCTGTCTTCTCCTCTCTCTTCCACTCTCTTTAGAATCAATAGAAAAATATCCTCGGTGAGGATTTAAAAAACAAAGACATCACGGACACAAAGCTCTGCCTCCTGTACTCTGGCAGCAGAAGTAAAGCTCCTGCAGAGACGGACTCCGGGAGAGGGTCAGCGGGAGGGTGGGCGCAGAGGGAAGAGCCTCGTGGAGCCTCTACAGACAGCAAGGTGAGCCCATCCCCTGAGAGGGACAGGGCTGTAGAACCAGCCGGGCTCTCGGGGCCCACCTGATGCGGTCCTTCCAGGAGTGCTCCCAAATTCAACCAAAACTCTGGCTCTGCACTCACCTCCAGAGGAGCATGCACTGCACCTGAACTAGAACTCAGGATCAGGATGCACCCCACTGGGCTGCCAGCACGCCCACACCCTCAGTGCCCAAGGAGAGACTAAGACAGAGCCTTACTCTCCAACCCCCAGCAGCCTGCACGGACTGGCAGTCCAGAAGAGCTGGATAGACCGTGGGGGGCAGGCGGGGCATTGGCTCCAGAGGGATCCTGTGCACCAGGCAGCGCCCCCCTCTGCCCTCTGCCCTGCCCCCCTCCATAGTGCCATCCAGGAATGGCATTCACGTTAGTGTCACTCAGTGCACACTCAGAATCAAGTAGCCATGTGAAGGGGCAGCAGGAGGGACCTTGTGACAGCGCTGGTGGTGACAGGAATGTGCACGCGACCTCCTCACATGCCAACGGGGCGGCTGAGGTCCTGGATGTGACTCTGGCGACAAGAAGCCACTTTGAGGAGTCTCTATTTTATCCCACAACAGCCTATGGTGATCTCACTAGAAAGTTTTTAAAAAATGAAACACCACACTGCTATGGTGTTGGACCATGAGCTCAAAAAGCCAGATTCCCACTGAGCTAAAGAAACGGACATCGATTTGTAACTCCTACACGTGCCTGCGGGTTCTTCTCCCATAGGACTCAGCCGGCACGTTTGATTTTGGGGGTGGGGGCACTCACTGCCAGGCTCAAGGGCGGATGGGTGGGGGTGGGGGCCGCGGAATCAGCATGGGAGGAGGGAGGATGCAAACTTAGTGGAAACGAGGGGTTCGTAGAAAACCCGTAAGACTGAAGATGAGAACGAAATCCTGCAACTCATTGCAGCTTCGAAACCCCCAACCCCCTTCCTCTGCGGATGTCCTGGAAACCCTACACCAGAGGATCCCCCTAGTCGGTAGGGGCGCTGGTACGGGGCCGCGGCGGGACTTGTCTCCCCAAAGGCCCGGCCAGGGTGTACGCGCCCCAAGGCCCCAAAAGTGCGCGCAGGTGGGGATCAGCGCCCACCCTCCGCCCCGCCCTCCCACCAGGCAGGCTGCTGGGCCAGACTTGGCCGCAGGGAGGGGGCCCCCGAGAGAAAGGACCAAAGGGCCGGCTTCCAAGCAGCGGGCAGCGAAAGGCCCAGTGGGGTAGGGGGCCTTCCCCAGGACCCCGAGCATCTGCAGCTCCGCCTCCGCCCGAGGGGTGCCCCCACATCAAGACCATCGCAGACAAAAGCGTCTGGGGCGAAGGAGCCGCCTCTGCCAAGCACAGAAGCGCCAGATCCTATCAGCCAGGAGCCCGAACGCGCACTGCTGCCCGCAAGTTGGGGCACGCCGGAGCCGGGCGCGGGCAGCGGGAGAAGCCGCCGGCCGGGCGCGCCCTGGGAGGCTGGGCCGGGTGCGCGCCCCGGGGCTGGGGGGTCCGGCCCGGGGGTTCGGGGCTGGCTGCGGTCTCCTCGTCGCCGGTTCTGAGGCTGCTCCGAGGAAGGAGGCGGTAGGTACGGTCAGGGACCTCCCCCGGCCCGGGCCCCCGAAGCCCCTCTCCACCGTGCCGGCGGCGTGCCGGGCGCCTGCGGCTCGCGGAACAAAAGAGCCGCTCCCGCCGAGGGTCCGGAGCCCGCGCAGACCGGCCGATGGCTCAGCCCCCGGAGCGCCCGAGCCCCTGCCGGACCCCACCAGGCTGCGTGCGGGCTTTGTGTCCGCGCAGGGGCGGGAAGGACGGCCGGACCCTGCCGATCCCAGACGGCGCCCGCGCTCCGGAGCTGCGGCCGGAGCGGGGCCGCCCCCCGCGGCGCAGGGGGCACCCATTCATTCTCCGGGGGTGGCAGAGCCCGCCCGGGCTCACCTTGCTCTTGACTTCCACCGCACTGCAGTCGTAGAAGCGCAGGGTCTGAGACTTGTGGAAACTCCGGTTCATGATTCCGGCCCTGCTCCGCCTCGTCTTCGCCCTCGCCCCGCGCCAGGGGCTCCGGAGAGACGCTGGGGGCGGCGCCCACCGCCGGGGCCTCGGTCCCAGCCCGCGCTCTCGGGCCGCGGGGCCGGTCGGACTGCGGCGGCGGCCCGAGCTGGGCTGGCCGGCCGCGCGCCTCGGGGACTTGGGCGGCCGCGCGCGGGAGGAGCGGAGGAGGCAGGCGCGCGCCGCCCGGAGCACCCGCACCCCGAGCACCCGCCGCCAGTCTCCACCCCGCGCCCCGAGGAACCGCCCCCTCCAGGAGCCACCCTGCCACTGAGAGCCCGCCCTAGGGCCCGCCTCCCCCCAATCCCCGCCCCGCGCCCCGAGGACCCGCCCTCGAGCCCTAAGGACCCTTGTTCACCCCAAACCCGGAGCACCCGCCCTGCGAGGAACGCCCCCCCCCCCCGCCGGAGGACCTGCCCCCGGGGATCCGGGGGACCTTTTCCGAGTCCCACCCCCCACTCGCGGAGGACGGATCTCCCGAGGACCCGCCCCCAAGGCTGCTGATCTTGCATGGAGCGCACTTCTCGGTACGCAATGCCAAACCCGGGCGAAAAAGCATCGCCTCACTCCCACCCCCACCTCGGGTGCCTCATTTCCACCTCCGCACTCCACCCCGCCCCTACCCCGCGCTTTCTCTCTCCAACTCACCCCGCTTCAACTGCCCTGCCCGGGAAGGGGGTGGCTTTGGACTGTTTTGTCATCATCGTCTTGGATGATAGGGGAACCACACTAGGCCATAGAGTATGAACATCACTCAACCCTTTCATACAGATTGCCAAATGGCATTAGCCAAAATCTGATTTTCATTTAATTTCACTGCATGTCCTGTTACTGCAGGATATGATCACAGAAGGACAGAATTACAGCCCCTGCCCATAAGAGAGAAAAAAGCTGGCCAGGGGGCCAGACATACAGAGTTCCAATGCAAGGCGCTGGAAAGCAAGCAAGCCAACAAAAATGCCAAGAGAGTCCCACAGAAGCAGGGGGAAACTATTCCAGACAGAAGGTTGAGGATGTCCACTGGTCTGAAAGGTGGAAAGGAACTGGTATATTAGTTTATTATCTACACAAAATTTAATAAATTCCAGGTTTCCAAAAGATAGTATTGGGCGAGCTCAGAGAGAGCAGACTGTGCACAGAGGAGCTGACTTTCCCTCAAAGGACAATTTCCTAAGCTGAATACCAACCCAGAGAAGAGTCACAGGTTGCTGCTGATTGCTGACAGTGGACATTATGTTCTATTTGGGTAGGAGAGGCTCAGAGCATGCTCAGGTGAGACAAGAGGCTGGGGTGAGGGGGAAATTCTAGGGTGGGATAGCACCTACTAGCAAACTTGGGGCTTGAAGAGTGGGAGAAAAGGCTGGAAGTTCCAGAATTCCAAGCTTGATGGGATGAAGGCATGTCTGTCATACCCGTGACACAGTGTGGTCCAAGGCCCAGCAGCCCCTGCTCCAGCAAGCACTGGAGAGGCATTCCCCACCCAGATCCACTGAAGTGGGCTCTGCACTTGAACAAGATCTTGGAAGGGTTCTTGGGTGGCAGCTATCGGCTGCCTTGTCAGTTCTTGATTAGGAAAGCTGGCAGTTCCCATGTGAGCCTGAGTTTTCAGCCACAACTTGGCTAGGGCGTCAAGCCTATGAGTAGACAAGAACAGCTGAGCCTTCGGCTGGAAAGCTTCTTTTCTGATCCAGCAGCACTGTTGTAAATCTCTCCACAGGTCCTGGCCTGACACATAGCCGTGGGTCAGAGAAGACTGGAGGCCCATGGGTGGGCTCTCTCTAGCTGGCGGGTGGGCTCCAAATGGTGCAAACTTGCCCCAGTCACATGCTGATGGCCACTGACAGTTATCTCTGAGCCAGCACCTCAGCAACGCGTCCAGAGATTTCAGTGAAATTAAATGTTGAGATTCAGCATAGGGGCCGGGAATCTGGCGAAGCCTTGTATTTCCACGATGGCCTGCAGGCATCTCATGGAGGACCTGAGCCTAGATGACCTAGCTGACCTTGGACAATTCACTTAACTCACCTCAGATTTCGTTTGTGAAGTGGATGCTGCAGTGCTTCTCTGGCCTGCTTCATGGCGACATCCTGGCAACCAAAAGACTCATCGGCTGAGGCCCCGCTTCGAAATCATTCAACTGCTCTGCCAGTACCACTTGTAGGAGGGGTGCTGTGCTTTCCCAGGGAGAGAGCCAGGCGTGGGCACCGTTCCCCTTGAGATGAAGTAACACGCCAGCCATAGGCATTCCTTCACTAAGGCTGGGGCTACAGATGAACACTCTCACACTTATACAGGGCTCACTGCTGGCTTCGGGGAGGGGGCGGGGCCCAATCCTCCAGAATGACCTATCCAGAATTGGTGCCCGAACCCCTCGGGATCTAAAAGGAAACATGTTGTAGACTCAGGAAAGTGTATTCCCCCAAAGCCCTAGGTTTTCCTTCCAGTTGTCAGTAGCTTAAATGGAAGCAACAGTCGTTTTTAAATCTCTAACTTTAAAGGTACATGGTGACTAAAGGCAATTTCATCAGAAAAAAAAGGGGGGGTGGGTTTTAATAAATAACAGAGATAAATTGTTTTTTAGATAATAGAGAGAAAAAAGGTCACCCTCATGTGAGTTGCTGAATCAGCAGATCTTGTTGATGGAGAGGATATTGTGATGGGGAAGAGACCATGGAGGTGAGGCCATGACAGAGAAGAGGCTGTGGTGGCACGGAGACCACAACAAGGAGAGACTGCGGTGCGGAGGAGACCAGGAGGCTGTGCCGGGGACTGTGGCGGGGAGCAGATGGTGTGGGGAGGGGACTGTGACAGGGAGGAGACTATGGAAGTGAGGAGAATGACAGAGAATAGACCATGGTGGGGAAGAAACTGTGAGGAGAGAAGACAGTGACGGGGAGGAGGCTGTGAAGGAGGCCTGGGTGGGAGGATAAGGGACCATGGAGACAGATGTGCATAGTACGTTCCCAGGCCCAAATATACTTAATACCTACTTCAGCAAGAAAGTTCAGCAGTATTTTTTTTTAAATATATTTTATTGATTTTCCACAGAGAGGAAGAGAGAGGGATAGAAGAGTTAGAAACATCGATGAGAATCATCGATCAGCTGCCTCCTGCACACCCCCTACTGGGGATGTGACTGCAACCAAGGTACATGCCCTTGACCAGAATCGAACCCAGGACCTTCCTGTCCGCAGGCCAATGCTCTATCCATTGAGCAAAACCGGATTCAGCAGCAGTATTTTTTGTGTAGTGAACTTTTTACAAAAAAATATTGGTGTGTGTTTTGGCTTTTTTTGTTTTGTATTTTGTGTGTGTGTGTGTTTGTGTGTGTGTTTAAGCTCATATATATATTTTATATATATTATTGATATTTCACAGAGAGGAAGGGACAGGGATAAAGAGTTAGAAACATTGATCAGCTGCCTCCTGCGCACACACACACCCCCACCAGGGACGTGCCCACAACCAAGGCACATGCCCCTGACTGGAATTGAACCTGGGACCCCCAAGTCCATAGATCGACACTCCATCCACTGAGCCAAACCGGGCAGGGCCAAAATAATATTGTTGATAATCTTACATATGCACACAAATGGTGCTTTATTTTTAATGAGGAATGGGATATTTGCATAATCTCAAAGTACCTTCCCACATAGGTATTAACTACAAAGGGAAATAGTGTGATTTTACAGTGGGTAAGTCTGGCAGACACCATTTAATAAAATGAATGCCAGTAATGGGACAAGCCAAAATTGTGCACCATCTGACTGCATGCAGCAGTGTATTAATAGTGAGAAAAGCTGTTGGGAGATTATAACATTACCAAATGTAGGTAGCATTTTTAAATAAACACATTTCAAATAAAATTAACCATTCAAGCATTCTCTTCCTGATGGTCTCTCTTGCACATCATCTGTCCTTATAGGCAGATGAACCTGCCTGTTGAGGAACATAGAGCATGTAAAGAAAGACAGTCTTTTAAGACTTTTATGCTAATCTCAGTAGTTTGAGTTATGCAGCCAAATGATCTGGATTGAGGCAGACTTCATATGACAAAGCAAAGATTGTTCTGGTTATCCTTGAAAGTATACTGTGTTTTATTCTTTTATATCTTCCTGTCTAATCTTTTTTTTATTTTTATTTTTTGCAGTCACTTTCAAAACCAGTGGTAGGGAGGGCACAATATGGATGCCATCTAATCTATCCTAATGCAGATCACTGCTAGTAAGCAGCTTCTAATTAACCACTCAGGAAGTGGCAAAGACCCATTCTCTTTATCTAGTGCACATGTGTCAAACACAAGGCCCGCAGGCCAAATCCGTCCCGCCAGGCCTTGCAATGTGGCCCGCACCGCGCTGTCATCACTGCACTCCGCTGCGTTTTCATCACAATGACAGTTTATGACTGTTCAGTAAACCATTCGGCCCGCGATTTAGGCTGGATTTTAGATTTTGGCCCCTTCTCTGATTGAGTTCGACACCCCTATTCTAGTGCATGAAAAATAGAGTGTATGATTATACAGGACCACTTCTTATGAAATAAGGAAGAACTCATCTCCCCGCCATTTTCTAAGTGGAAAAACAGGCAAAGAGGGACAAGAACTTGGCATAGATCCTCAGATGTGATAGAATAAGGTTAAGCAGTTCGTATTCAGAACTTAAGTTTTGAGAAATTAGATTAAGTATATTGTTTAAAATTCAGATATTGTGGGTATTTTGGTATATAGTGTACAGCTCTAAACATATATTTAAGAATTTATTTCTAAGCGGGGATAAGAACTTTTGATATGGTAATGTCCCCAGAATATCTAACTTTATTACTGAATAGCTCTCATATTGAATTTACCAACCTTGTCATTTTAGTTTTTAAAATACTGAATTGATGCCATGTTTAACATTTCTGTAGCAATACATCTATTTTTAGTATCTTTAATCATCAAATCCATTAACACAGAATGTTAGGTGGAAGCCAAAGAAAATAGGTAAGATATGGAAAGACTACGGCTAGAAAATTGTATAGTACTGGCTATTGATATATGTGTACTCTGCTTGCTTCTCATTTAGTAATAAGCATATTTGACAAAGATGGCCTTTTATATCACCTGAGAATAAAAGAAAACAGTGAACTAGACAGTGACCAGGAAACAAGGCACCAAGAGTTCCTAGAGTAGCAACATGCAGCTCTCATCTGAGGTTATTGTTTTTTAATAAGTTTTAGAAGAGCACCTATCTTAAAACTGGTCAGCAGGCCTTTGTTAATGCACTGAAGAGTCATATCACTAAAGGAGAGAGCTGTCATGGGTGGGGCTGAACTTGGGGCTTCCCCAGAGCATCAGCTGTGGTGCCCCTTCTTTTGTGTAAGTTGTCTTACTGGTGTACACATTCACTCTAGTTATGTGAAAAGCACTTACAAAATCTAGACAAATACAGTTTTTAAAAGTAACTAAAAGTTGCCCTTGCTGGTTTGGCTCAGTGGATAGAGTGTCAGCCTAGAGACTGAAAGGTCTCAGGTTTGATTCTGGTCAAGGGCATGTACCACGGTTAGAGGTTCCTCCCTGGCTCAGGCTCTGGTCAGGGGTGTGCAGGAGGCAACCAATCTATGTGTTTCTCTTACATTGATATTTCTGTCTTTCTCTCCGAAAACCAATGGAAAAATATCATCAGGTGACAATTAAAAAATAATAATCTATATATATAAAAGCCTAAGTAGCCATTAGACCGAACTACTGGAATAACCAGTCATCAGTCACTATGATGCACACTGATCACCAGGGGGAAGACACTCAATGCAGGAGCTGCCCCCTGGTGGCCACTGCACTCCTACAGCCAACCTCCCATGATCTGCCAACCTCACCCAACATGTGCATGAATTCATGCACCAGGCCTCTAGTAAAATGAATAAAAGTAACCAAATACTATCTTTTCTGAAAGATGCATAATTTCTCTACAATGATCTCAGGTATTTCCTGCCGTTTTCAGAAGTCATCTTCCACAAGAAAGCAGCAAACCTTGCATGAAGCTCCTGTCCTTTTTAGGACTAAAGATGCTTTCCTTGTAATGATAAGACCTTATCTCTAAATCTACCTGAAAGCCCCTTCCAGCATTCTCAGGAAAACTTTAAGAAAAACTATCCAATCCAGTAAAGACTTGGTGTTATTCATTGCTATTATTACTCAATTTTCGCCCTGTCAGGGTGGCTGAGTTGGTTAGAGCATCATCACCATGATACACCAAGATTGCTGGTTTGCTCCCTGGTGAGGGCACATAAAAGAATCAACCAATTTCCAAAACTGCTTTGGCATCAGCCTGCAGACTGAAAGGTCCCAGGTTTAATTCCGGTCTAAGGCATGCACCTTGGTTGTGGGCACATCCCCAGTAGGGGGTGTTCAAGAGGCAGATGATTGATGATTCCCTCTCATCGATGTTTCTAACTCTCTTTCCCTCTCTGTAAAAAAATCAATAAAAATATTTTTTAAAAGAATCAACCAATGAATGTGTAAGTGGATCCACTTGTTTCTCTAAAATCAATAAATTAAAAATGTTTTTAATTAATATTCTCATTTACTTTCACATAAATTTATTAAAATTTCCACATTGTGGATTGTAAACTGCAAGAAACTATGCTCTGTAAAGATATTCATGATAACTAAATTTGAATTTGTATAATATGACCACACAATCTTAGTTCATGCACAGTAAAACATGTCTATATGGTTGCTAAAGTTGGTTTATAATTTAAATATTAATAAAATTTTAAATTTTTATTGGAAAGCTTTCCTTCTTTTACTTTTTTTTTCTTTAAAAATAAACAACTGCCTTGCCTGTGTGGCTCACTGGTTGAGCACCAACCCATGAACCAGGAGGTCATGATTCAATTCCCAGTCGAACATATGCCTACATTGCGGGCTCTCTCCTGTGTGGGACATGCAGGAAGTAGCCAATGATTCTCTCTCAACATTGATGTTCCTATCTCTCTCTCCCTTCCTTTCTGAAATCAATAAAAAAATATATTTAAAAATAAACAATCATAGCCCTCGGTGGGTGGCTCAGCAGGTTAGAGCATCATCCTGATACACCAGGGTTGTAGATTTAATACCGGGTCAGGGCACATACAAGGTTTTTTTTATTTCTCTCCCTTCCTTTCTCTCTCTCTCAAAAATAAATAAACGAACAATCATATTGCTCATTTTATGAGTGGATAAAGTGGTTGAGGAAGCACCTTCTTTAAAAAGTTGTGGAAAACTAACCTTAGCTACTATTTAGCAGCATGCATTATATATTTTTCCTCTCAAAATGTGTAACTAGATCATTTGTACGATTTGTATGAATGATAGTATAATAGTATTTGTTTTCAAACTGACAATATGGTGGATTTAAAGATCCCTAGCAATACAACAGATTTTGGCCACGTATGCTTACCTGCCTGCTCACATCTATCCTGGTCCCTGCCTGCCTTCCTCAAGACTTTTGCTTTGTGGTCCACGTTACGGAAGACACTGAAGGTGGCACCCTGCACCTTTGTGGGAGTCACACTGATCTTTGTCTGGGGCCCTCTGACTTACTCACTATTAACAAGTGAACTGATGTGGTTTTTATTTACTAAAAAATAGTATCAAATAAAGGTAAATTAATTCAGAGAAGCTAAAATAGTATGCTACATTTAACTGAATAGACTTTAAATATGTAAAGCTGATGTACCCTGGCTGGTATTGCTAAGTGATTAGAGCGTCAGCCCAAGTACCAAGAATTAAACAGTTCTATTTGTAGTGGTATAACAAATTTTAATTCAAAATAGACACTCTGAAAACAACAGGGTAAAAAAAAAAAAATAAACTTTAACAAGCTCTTTTTGAATTTACAACAGAGTACACCAACAATCACAGACCAGTTTCACAATTGCCCCAAAAATACACATTATAGCAATTACATGCAAGTATTATATTTAAAATCCATATAGTAACATTATCTTATTTTCCAGAGACTGTCAGATCCTCTAAATACATTAGACAGGTCCCTCTGCTGTGTGTCACCAGCAAAAAATGACTTAAGATCTATCCTGGTTAGTCTCCATTACTAGTTCCGGTGCTTTAAGATCTTTTATACCATTATGTGAAAAGAAAAAAAACACCCCGAGGTTTAACTGTCCAGGGAACAGTAAAAGAATGGGAGTTCATTCCCAATACCAATCCCATTAGTCAGACATTGGGCTATGGAACATCCATTTCCCTAGTATGAATATGCTGACTTCTGGGAAACTGTCAAAAATTAATGGCCCAACCATGGAACTTGACCCACCATAGAGCTCTTAGGTCTACTGATTTTCCCTTGTCCCTGAAAACTTGTTTATATTTCAGTATCCACACTCAGGGGTAAAAATCTTATTCCTGAGTAACATGGTCCTTCCCTTTCACTGGTTTGTGTACAGTTAGATTAGTAGGAGAGTCTGTGTGTGTATTTTCAATGTTTATTCTAAAGGCACTAAAGATTTATTGTCTTACCTTTGAATGGAAATATGACTTATCACCATATCAAAAAGAGGGGAGAAGTCTACACTGAAAAGAATTACTTTATTTGTAATATAACTCTTACGAGCTAAAATACCAGACTTCAGGTTCATTATATTTTTTTAACAAACAAAAACATTTGGTTTTCTATGAGTTATAAAAAAAAAAAATGGCTAAGACAAACCTTAAAAAAGTTAAATGAAAACTAATCTAATAAGCAAATATCTTACAAAAATAAAACAGCATAGTGAATGCCATGCACCCTTAGCAGCTGCACACAACACAAAGGTCTGTGCTTACTTCTCTACACATTTACTGCATCATTTGCAGCTATGTGTAAAGCTGAGGGAGATCAAAGATCTGCAGTTAATTAATAATCTGAAATAAGCTGAAATTTCCTTAAGTGAAAAAACAAATGTGGATTTCAGTTTTTATCATACGATCCTGACACTACTGGAAAAACAAGGTGTGCACAAAATATCGAAATATTTAATTTACTCAACAGAGGGGAAAAAAACTAAAAAATGTGACAAAATCCAACTGCAGAGAATTATAAAAGAACTATCACTTCTTCATACGAAGTCTTGCTGAGCACCTGAAATACCTCTAAAGAGCAGCATAAAGACCACTGAAATTGATTAGTTCAACATACAGTGAAAAAAATAACATTTTTAAAAATCTCAATTAAAAAAACTAATTTCCTAATTTTTTACAAATTTTGTGGTTCATACTCAAAGTTCAATCTATGTTTAACATTTTTAAGTTCAGACATATCAAAGCCTAAAAGGACAGAAGGCTTCTGACTTTTTATTGCTTTCATGCAAATGTATCTTCTTTTTCCAAAAAATGAAGCCACATCAATTTTCCACACCCACAAGAGTGAGGACAGCAACTCTACTTCCTTTTTACTAGGATATGGTCTCTTGTGGAAATAATCTTTAAGAAACTGCTTTTTTTCTTCATAAGAACGGTCTTCATATTTTTTGGGATTTAATGCTAAAATTTGAAGAGCGTCATCATTAACAACAAGTGGTCCCTCCGTCCTGCTTTCATTCCTTTGTCTTTTAAGAGGAACGACACTCGTTACCTTCTCTGGAGCTGGGGACACATCGGAGTTTATGGCCAGAAGTTGTTGCTCCCCTTCCTGCTGGTCTTCTGCCCCAAAGTGGCCATCAGGCAGCTTTCTCTTTACAGAAAAGCTGGAGTCGTGCAGCACCTCATCATTGACTAGAAGCAGCTCACTGTTCTCAATGAAATTCGGTTGGACTTGCAGGTCTGAGCTGCTGTCCTTTGGAGCACTTCTGCAGCGCAGGAGGTGGATGGCAATGGCCGCCAGGGTCATGTTTCCAGTGTAAACCCCACAGCAGTGGATGCACTTGAAAGCTGGAGATTTCAAGATTGTGTGGACGGTTGGCATGATGTGGTGCCTGTCCTTCAAATGGAGCTCATAGGCCTCGGTTGTCACAAAGGTGCCAAAGCAAAAGGGGCAGGTCAATGCCTGTTTGCTGGGTGCACCCTCGGTCTGAGGCCTCACTTTAATATACACGGGTACGAGTGACTTGGAGTGTATCCCAGCCAGTATTGCCAAGTAGACTTCCCGCCCCCCCAACTCTTCCTTTGGCAGCATGGTAATGAAATCAAGATGGGGAAACAGCAGGTTGCCATTGGCATCAATATCCAGTTGGAAACCTTTGTTACTATAATCCACAGGTACCTTCTTCTTCCCCAGGTGCATGGTCCTGCTGTGCTCTGAGAGATCTTTAATGCCGTGGAAAGTGCGTGGGCAGAACAGGCACCCCAGGCCATGCTTCAGTAGGTGATGGATGAGCTCTTCCTCCGATATTAAGCATTTACAAGAGAGACACCGAACTGTCTTCTCTCTCATCCACTTCAAAAATGGCGCACATGCAGCCAGTTTTTCTGGCTCCCGTTTTTCAGCAGATTTGGACTCGCTGTGCTTATGAGCCACTTCCATATGGACCTGGTAGACGTTGGAAGGGAAGAGCTCATTGCAAACTGGACAGGTTTTCCACTGCTTCGCCTGTTTGAGCACTGGGCTCAGCTCTGCTGCAGAGGAGGAGGGCTGAATGAACACATTTGGAGCTGCATTCACCACCACTGAGGGAGAGGGCATGCCAGCCATCGGACTGGCCATCTGTGCAGTTGTGCCGGACGGCAGGAGCTGGATGGGCACCTGGGGTGGGGCAACACCTGCAACACCTCCAGGTGGTGCAGGCAAAGTGACAGATACCGGAGCAAGTGTATATGTGGGAATCCCATTCACCTGCTTCCCTGTAGGTATCAGCTGCCTTAGAATGGAGCCTGATGTCAAGAAAGTTGTGTTTTGTGAAGCACCAGGTCTAACTGGCTGATTGGCAGGCAGAATGTTAGTATTCACAGACTGATTAAGGTGCATGACCCCAGGCCTCACTGGTTGGCTCACAGGAAGAACTCCTGACATGACTGGCTGGCCAAGATGCAGCACACCAGAATTCACACCCTGGTTCCCAGGGAGAATGCTTGACGAGACTGTTTGGTTGGGAGAAAGGAGCCCAGGTGGAACCACCTGGCCTGCAGGGAGAACACGCAGGGGGACCGTCTGGCCAGGAGGGAGCGCCCGTGATGGAACTGTCAGCCCAGGGGGGAGAACCCCGGACGGAGCTGTCTGGCCAATGGGGAGAACCCCAGATTGGACCATCTGGCCAGCAGGGAGAACCCCAGAAGTTGCCGTCTGTCCTGAAGGGATAACCCCAGCTGGGGTCATTTGGCCTGCAGGAAGGACACCTGATGGGACAGTCCGATTTACAGAAATCACCCCTGGAGAGACTGCCTGAAGAACCCCAGGGGTGACAGAGGGACTGACAGGAAGGACAGTGGACCCAACAGATCTGTTTACTGGAAGAACCCCAGAACCAACTGGTTGGCTTACAGGCCCAACAGGCTGGTTAAGGGGTAAAACCCCTGGGCAGATGGTCTGGTTTATGGGGAAGATACCTGTTCCAGCAGACTTACTGACAGGTCTAACCGGCTGACTCAAGGGCAACACAGGAGGATTTGCTGACTGATGTAGTGGGACTCCGTGAGAAAGGAAGACAGGCTGCGGCCCTGAGGGTGGCACAGCAAGACTGCTCTGGCCCCCAGGCAGGGGACTGGAGATGAGAGTCACATGGGACTGGGCAGTGGCAGGTGGAGAATGGGTGAGGCTTCCAGAAGCACCTGAGGCCACAGTCACTGGCTGGACTGAGCCCTGAACTGGCTGGACAACAGTCTGGTTTTGACTATTTGGCGGTAAGGCGAGGTGAAAGCAAGATGTGGCAGGGACACCCGGAGTGCTTCTGCTCGGTGGTATGGTCACGTGTTCAGCTGGTTTGGGAGCGATATGCATTTGCTTCAAAAGTCCAGTCTTCCTAATATGTTCTGAAATCACGGACCTAAGCTTATTCTCCAAATCCCTGTGTACATCCGACGTCAAAATATGATACATTAATGCATCCTGACTACTGGCATTGGCGTTGCACTTTTTACAGTAATACTTGTCAGAGGGTGGCATCTTCTCTGTAGAAGGGGGATCATCCGTTTTGGATTGCTCAACCATTTCCTCAGTTCGTAGACCAAAGTAGGAGTTAATTAAGTGGTGAAAATGGGCTACCAGCACATGCTTCTTCATGCTGTAGTACAAAGTGTTTGAAAAGTTACATTTTAAACATGTAAAACTGATGACATCACTCCTGGATGACTTAGCCTCACCTAAGATGTTCACTGTGTAGTTCTGCACTTTCCGAACAGGTGCATGGAACATTTTGAAGTGCCGTCCCACCACTTTGGGCTGAGAGGTAAATACACAGTTTGGGCAAGGGATCACCAGCTCTTGGTCAATTTCATCTTCGTGGTAACGATGCAAATGATTTTTGAATGAAGTAAGCACTTTTGTAGAGTATTTGCAGAGGCCACAACAGTATGGCTTTGTTCGGTATCTCTGTTAAAAGAAAAAGTTCAGCATCATTTAATAAAGCTATTATATGTGAGATACACCTATAGTTCACAAGTATATGACTCTTTTTTAACATGCTAGATAATTTAACTCTATCACCCCTCAGAGAACAATGTGTTTTCAAATATACATACCGGTGTATGTATGTGTGTGTGTGTGTGTGTGTGTGTGTATATATGTACGTGTGTGTATATATATATCGATATGTGTGTGTGTGTGTGTGTGTGTGTGTGTGTGTGTATATATATATATATATATATATATATAATTTTAATTTTTATATAAAAAAATTTAATTGACTTTAGAGAGGGAGGGGGAGAGAGAGAGAGAGACATATCAATGATGAGAATCATTCATTGATCAGCTGCTTCCTGCACACCCCCTACCAGAGATCAAGTCCACATTCTGAGCATGAGCCCTGGCCAGGAATCAAACCAATAACTTCCAAGTTCATAGGTTGACACCCACTCACTGAGCCATAGCAACTGGGCAAGAACAATGTGTTTTAAGCCAGGGCAAGATTTTCCTTAAAGGGCCAGAGAATAAATATTTTAGGCTTTGTGGGCCACCCAAGAGCTTCAGTGTCAATCACTCAGTGCTGCTTGGTAAGACAAAAGCACCCACAGCTGGGGCAGGGAGTGAGGAAGGGCTAGATAGGGTCAATGGGAGGAAAAAGGGGACACATGCAATAATTTCAACAATAAAGATTTAATTAAAAAATATAGCTCAAAGGAAAAAAAAATCACCCATAGGTGACATGAATATCCATGAACATGGCTTTGTGCCCATAAAACTACAAACATCATTCAAATTTCATTATCAATTTCACATCACAAAACAATATTCATTTTTTCCTTCTCAAACATTTAAAAATGTAATAATTAGCCGAAACCGGTTTGGCTCAATGGATAGAGCGTCGGCTTGGGGACTGAAAGGTCCCGGGTTCGATTCCGGTCAAGGGCATGTACCTTGGTTGCGGGCATATCCCCAGTAGGGGATGTGCAAGAGGCAGCTGATCGATGACTCTCTCTCATTGATGTTTCTAACTCTCTCTCTCTTCCTTCCTCTCTGTAAAAATCAATAAAATATCTTTTAAAAAAATAAATATATTTAAAAAAATAAATAAAAATGTAACAACTATTCTTAGCCCACAGTTCATACAAACATATGGCGTGCCTAGTTTCCAAACAATCCACTAAAACCACAGATCTCATTACTTAGTCCTTATAGTACTTTGAATTAACTGCTTCATCCTTTCTCCAATGTTGTTTTTATTCCAAATTCTAAAGCCTCTGCAACTTATCTACAAATAACCTAACTTGCAAATTACAAAACCCATCATTACTATCTTTTACTTCCTATTTCTATTCTTGGGGAAGGTAAGAGCCACATTGACAGTGCTCAGCAAGTATAAGTGTCCAATAAACTATGTAACAAATAGTAAATAAAGAGGGACTATGCCAAAATCACCACAAATAACCATGAGGTAAGTTTCAAGCAACAGAATATATTACTGACTCTATGGAATTTCTCTTTAAGGCACATGATGGGGGATTCAACAAGCTCAGGGCATAAGAACATACGTATACTTGAATCACCCTGGTCAACAGAGGAGTGCAATACAATAAACTGTTCATCTGTGATGATGTGAGAGCAGTGCACCCCCTGGTCTCAAAAGTCTCTAGACCTTGGAGATGTGAACCACAGAACATCTGGCTCTCATTCCACAAAGGAGGAGGGTGAGACCTGAAAAGACTGAATGCTTCACTGAGGTCCCACCATGGGCTGTGCAGATATTGTTCCATGTGGGGACACTGATCCTTGCTACACAGTGGCCACAGTTCAGACCCATCCTTCCTAGATCTGCTCTCATGAACAATCTTTCTCATTAACACACAGGTGCCCCCATTCTGTGACCGTCTCTCTCCTACTCATGTGCTTGCTCCTCTTGGGTCACAGGTTAGAGAAATCACCAAACACACCCAACAACATTTTGCTACTTCTCTGCAATTAGCGAAACCCCAGATTCTGGCATTTCTGGTAGGAACTATAATAAACCCAGGGCTGAAAAACCCCATATATCTCTGAAATCTGGGAATACTTCACACCTGATGTCACTTAAACACCCAGTTTAAGTGGAGTATGACTTTAGTTTTATTAAAGGTTCATTAAAAAGGGTGTCTTGGAGTGGGGAGTGGGGGATTGGAATGGAGGGTTAAGGACAAATATGTGATACCTTAATCAATAAAGAAATTTTTTTAAAAAAAAGGTGTCTTATAGTCAATGAAATACTGTATTGAAAAACAAGATACTCAGCAAAAATTACACTTAATAAAGAATCAACAAAACTCATTAACAACTGTACATTATTATCAGTAATGTGGATAGGTCTCTGGGTAGGGAGAAAACGTCCTAACGGTGACACCAGAAATATTCACAAAAGAAAAAAATAATAAAATAGACTTCATCAAACTAAGCAAGCTCTGTTCTTTGAAACTGTTTTTAAAAAAGAAAAGAGAAACCATAGGCTGAGAGACAGTATTTGCAAGCCATACATCTCACCTCCTCCCCATCTGTTCATTAGTAACCCCAGTACAAGTGACATACATCCCTCAGAAGTGAACCAACCTTTACCCTCAACTTTTGAGGAAGCATGAAAATCAAATACAAAAATACATACCACTTTCTTTCCAGAAGGTTCCCAGAGAGAAATATCTCCCCATGATGTATTATAAAAGTACTTCTCTCCTGGATCAAAGTCTTTAAGGTCCTTTCAAAATGGGAGAAAAAGAGAAAAATTATGCAATTTCAGCAGATAAAGAAATATTTCATTAGAACCTGGTGGGATTACTTGGTACCTAAGAAATCTACACGGGAAAGTGAAGTGAAAAATGCAGATCCTGAGCAAACTATGACACAGCCATTAAATATACACTGAGTGGCCAGATTATTATGATCTCTAAAAGCATAATAATCTGGGCACTCAGTGTATATCCTATATAATAAAAGGCTAATATGCAAATTGTCCCCTCTACCAGGAATTTGACCAGCAGGCAGGCTGGCCAACAGCCCATGTCCCCTCTCCATGGCCAGGCTGGCCAGATCCCACCCATGCACGAATTCATGCACCCAGTCTCTAATATAAATATACTGATTGGCCAGATTATTACGCATTCAGAGATCATAATAATTTGGCCACTCAGTGTATAAAACCCAAGGAATAGGCTGAAATAATCCAAGTTAAAATTATAGCTTCATAAGAAATATATTTCCCACAAATAATTTTTAAAAGAAGAAAAAATCAGCACACACCACCTCGCATCAGTGGTGAGTACTTTGGGAAAGAATTTCAGGGTGCTAAGAGTATAAAGTGAGAGTTTTGAGTGTGTGCGAACCAAGGGCACCAGGTGTCGGCCACAAAGAGGGCAGACCATGTAGACCAGGGGGTGTCGAACATGGCAGCAGGGGAGGCGATGGAAGGAGATGGTGTCATTGAGAACCTAGCAACCAGATCTGATGGGAGTCCAGACTGAATCCTGGTTCAAACAAACCAAGTGTAAAAAATTTGGGGAAAAACTGGAGAAATCTGAACATAAACTGGGTAATAGGTAAGACAATTATTTAATGACACAGAAAGTTGAAAGTCACAGAAAAAAGCAAAGTAATAAAAAAGCATGGCCAATATAAGCTTAAATTGGTAAAGACTGCACACACACACTAAGATGTTAATAATGGTAATCTCTGAATGGTAGAAACATGGCATTTAAAATTTTATTTTCTAAAAAAAATAATTTTCTGTATTTTCTCTTTCACAGTTTATATCACTGTCCTTATAATCAATTTAATTTTAATCCTCATCTGAGGATATTTTTTAAATTGATTACTGTACCCAACATTCAGAATTGAAGGGCAGATAAAGAGCTTCACAGATAAGAAAAAACTAAAGGAATTCATCACCACCAAACCAGTATTATATGAAATGCTGAAATGTATTATTTAAGAAGAGAAAGGGAGCCGAAACCAGTTTGGCTCAGCGGTAGAGCGTCAGTCTGCGGACTGAAAGGTCCCAGGTTCGATTCTGGTCAAGGGCATGTACGTTGGTTGTGGGCACATCCCCGGTAGGGGGTGTGCAAGAGGCAGCTGGTAGATGTTTCTCTCTCATCGATGTTTCTAGCTCTCTATCTCTCTCCCTTCCTCTCTGTAAAAAATAAATAAAATATCAAAAGAAAATTAAAAAAAAAAAGTAAAGATAAAAATTATGATCAACACGCCAAAACTGGTTTGTCTCAGTGGATAGAGCGTCAATCTGCAGACTGAAAGGTCCCTGGTTCTATTCCGGTCGAGGGCATGTACATTGGTTGCGGACACATCCTCGGTAGGGAGTGTGCAGAAGGCAGCTGGTTGATGTTTCTATCTCATCAATGTTTCTAGCTCTCTATCCCTCTCCCTTCCTATTTGTAAAAAATCAATAAACTATATTTTTTAAAAATTATGATCAACAAATACATATATATCAACAAATGAATCTAAAAATTAAATTAAATTAAAAATCCGAGGAACAGAATAAATTTGTAAATATAATAGAATCAGGGGCAAAGAAAGGGAATGGATTGATAACTATCAGGGGGAAAGGGGTGTGGGGGTGCAGGAAGAGACTGGATTAAAATTGTACACCTATGGATGAGGACAAGGGCAGAGGGTGGGGTGGGAACCAGGTGGAAGAGAGTTATTGGGGAGGGGGGGGAAGAAACAATTGTAATAATCTGAGCAATAAAGATTTATTAAATTCGAAGGAAAAAAACCTGCAATCTTTTGGTGTAAAGGACAATGCTCCAACCAACTGAGCCACCTGGCTAGGGGCAAAGGTCTTTTTAATATATTAACAAATATTAGTTAAGCAAAAGAAAGATAATTAATATAACTGCTGTTTCTGAATATACCTGTGTAACACATTGCTTACCAAGTCAATTCAGAACTACAGAAAAGTACACATTATTACAAGTATATAAGTTGGAAATAGTATATTGTGAGGTTTGCAACATACAGAAATAAGACACATGACAATAGCACCAAGGCTGGAAGGGGAGGAAAAGCACACTGCTGTAAGGTTGTTTTATCACATGTGAAGCAAACAGTATTATATTAGAAAGGTAAATGAAAGCACAGAGCTACTAAATAAAAAATGGAGGTGAAAATGGAATTATAAAAAATATTCAATCTAAAAGAAAGCAGAAAAAGAAAAAAGGAACAAAGGACAGAGAGATAAGTAAAAATAAATAGCAAGATGAGAGATTTGAACCCAACCCTATTGATAATTACATGAAGTAGCAGGGGCTGTGTTAAACCATTTCTTTAAAGGAACAGATAACATTAAATCTTTATCAGCTATACAGTCTCTGACATAAGCACTCAATCCACCATTGTGCACAAAAGCAGCCAGAGACAATATAGAAATACTGACAAGGATGGCTATTTCCACAAAGTTTATTTACAAAACAGCCAAATATGGCCCATATTTGGGGCCATAGTTGGCTACCCTAGTTTGAAATACTCAAATTAAGAGACACAGACTAAAAAATGCTATCTATAAAAATCTCACTTTAAATAATAAAGACACAGGGGGGCAGTGGCAGCGATTGGTATGGTATGTACACATATAATATCTTAATAAAAAAATAAAATAAATAAAATAAATAAATAATAAAGACACAGAATAAAAGTAAAAAGATTTAAAAAGATATATCATGCTACCATTAATCAAAAGAGGCTGAAGGAGCTACATTGATTTCAAACAAAGCAGATTTCAGCACGGGAAAAAGAATGTTAACAAGGCATGTGCCCTAGCCAGTTTGGCTCAGTGGATAGTGTCGGTTTGTGGACTGAAGTGTCCTGAGTTTGATTCCGGTCAAGGACACATGCTTGGGTTGTGGGCCTGATCCCCAGTGGGGGCCACGCAGGAGGCAACTGATAAATCACTCTCATCACTGATGTTTCTATCTCTTTCTCCCTCTCCCTTCCTCTCTGAAATCAATTTTAAAAAATGGATAGAAAGTCTAGTCTTCAAAAGAACTCAACAATTCTAAATGTGTATGCACTTAAAAGAATTTCAAAGTATATGAAGCAAAACTGATTGACCTGAAAAGAGAAAAAATTAAATCCAAAATTACAGCTGGAGACTTCAGGAAAGACAGAGATCAACCCTGTGCACCTAGGGGTGGCACTCAGAACAAAGCTGGCGTTGGAAATGCGTTGCAACCTCTCGCTGGTTCTTGGGAGTGGGGGTGACGGGGATGGAGGTGCAGTAAGAATACTGAACGCCACTAACAACTTCACAAAATGACATTTATAGAACTCTCCACCAACAGCAAAATGCAATTCTTTTCAAATACGCATGATACATTTCCAAAAACAGGACTCATGTTGAGCTATAAAATATTTAAAAGGACTGAAATAATTATAAAGTATAATCTCTGACCAGAGAAAAATTAAATAAATCTTTAACAAAAAGAATTCTAGTCCAGCTAGCGTGGCTTAGTGGTTGAGCGTTGACCCATGAACCAGGAGATCATAGTTCCTATCCCTCTGTCCCTCTTCCTTCCTCTCTTTAAAATCAATAAAAACAGATTTTTTTAAAATGGTATCGAGAGAAAATCCAAAATTTCTAGAAATTAAACACATTTCTAAATAATCCATGGGTCAAAGAAGAAATCACAAGGGGAATTAGAAAATATTTTAAACTGAATGAAAAGGAAAACCATGAATCAGTTGTATAGGATGGAGTTAAAAAGTGCTTCAGGAGAATTTGTGGCATTTTGGAGACTGGGAATCTAGCTATGATGTGCACTGACCACCAGGGTGGAGCGGAACACCGCGGGCATCGGAGATCCTCTACAGCCTCCCTCCAGTTACCTGGGGGTGGAGGTGACGGGTTGTCTGCTGAGCTCACTCTCACTCCCCCTGCTACCCTTCCCCAGGACAACAGCTCAGCCTGCCCGCAGCCGCACAGCATCTTCTGGGTGAGCAGGGCCACAGCTGCCAGAACTGCAGAGCCGGTTGGGCTCCCCATAGGTTTGCAAAGGAGCCGAGCTGTGAGGCCACCTGGGAGAGAGCACGTTGCCTGCTGGCTTCAGTGCTGCACCACTAGGCAGCCCAGAGGCCCAGGCTGTGCCCTGGCCTGCAGCATCCTGCTGCACTCACCGCATTTCTGCTGGGGACTCAGGTGAAGGGGGCCATGCAAGGGCCTGGAGACCCAGGTGCTGCCCAGATCAAAAATATTGTGTTTTTTTTGGTTTTTTTAAAATATATTTTATTGATTTTTTTACAGAGAGGAAGGGAGAGAGATAGAGAGCTAGAAACGTCGATGAGAGAGAAACATCGACCAGCTGCCTCTTGCACACCCCCTACCAGGAATGTGCACGCAACCAATGTACATGCCCTTGACCAGAATCGAACCTGGGACCTTTCAGTCCGCAGACCGACGCTCTACCACTGAGCCAAACCGGTTTTGACCAAAAATATTATTTTTGATCTGCAGCAGGTTGGATCTGTATATGTGAAACCAAAAGGGCTGACTATATATTTATTGGAAAAAACTGTGTACCAGTGGACCCGTGAAGTTCAAATCCCTGTTGTTCAAGGGTCAACAGTATTTTAAAACTAATGACTATATATAGCTTACATATTCAGTGTCTGAACGCTTTTATGCTTTATTTCTGGTATCTTAAAATGTCCTTTGTATACAGTTAATGTGGGTACAATGTTCAAAGTAAAACTCTAATAAAGCAAATTAAAAATGCAAGTGCCTTGGCTGGTGTGGCTGTGATTAGAGTGTCAACCACTACACTGAAGGGACATGGATTCAATTCCTGGGCTGCAAGTTTGATCCCATCTCTCATATCCATGTCTGTCAGTCTGTCTGTCAGTCTTGCTCTCTTTCCCCAACCCTCCCACTCGCTCTAAAAATCAATGGAGAAAATATATCCTTAGGTGAGACTTAACAACAACAACAACAACAACAACAAAGTACACAAAACTTGAAATTAAAAAAACAAAACTTAATGATCATAAAAAGCCCTTCATAAAAGTCACTTTAAAAACTTGTCAGCTGCCCTAGCTGGTTTGGCTCAGTGATAGAAGTGTCCAGCTGTGGAATGAAAGGTCCTGGGTTCAATTTCAGTCAAGGGCACATGCCTGGGTTGCTGGCTCCATTCCCAGTAGGGGGTGCAGGAGGCAGCAATCAATGATTCTCTCTCATCACTGATGTTTCTCTCTCTCCCTTCCTCTCTAAAATCAATAAAAACAAACTTGTCTGCTCTTAATCTATTACTGATATCCTCTTACCTTCAGCAATTCCTTGCAGCTGTCAAGCCCAATATCCACAAGAATTCCTTTCACCTTTTTTCGTACCTTCCTGATGTTGTCAAGATTTTCCACAGGAATTTGAAACATTTTTGGAATTTTCCTTAGAAAGAAAAGGAAGCTGTAATAAGTAACAGGATTTTTTAAACATTGAGAGTAATTTTCAACAAATCATGCTGGGACAACTAATTATCCACATGCAAAAGATTGAAGTTGCACTTGAAAAAAATTTTTAAAATATATTTTTATTGATTTCAAAAAGGGAGATGGATGGATAGAAACACCAATGACACAAGAAAATCACTGATAGGCTGCCTCCTGCATGCCCCTACTGGGGATCAAGTCCACAACCAAAGCATGGACCCTTGACCAGCATTGAACCCGGACCCTTCAGTCTGCAGGCTGATGCTCTATCCACTGACCCAAACTGGCTAGGGCTGAAGTTGCACTTTTTGCTCACACCATACAAAAAAAATCAACTCAAAATGGGTCATACACCTCCACCTAAGAGCTAAAATTTTTTAAACTGTCAGAAATAAACAAGAAGAAATCTTCATGACCTTGGATTTGGCAATGAACTCTTAGATATGACACCAAAAAGAAACAGAATAAAAACTAGGTAAGTTGGACTTCATGAAAATTTAAAATTTTGGTGCTTCAGCCTGTCAGTAAGCCTTCATTGTCGAGTGTCAACTTATGAAGCAGGAGGTCATGGCTAGATTCCCAGTCAAGACATGTGCCCAGGTTCAGGCTCGGTCCCCCAGTAGGGGGCATGCAGGAGGCAGCCAATCAATGATTCTCTTATCATTGATGTTTTTATCTCTCTCTCCCTTTCTCTTCTAAAATCAATTAAAAAAATATAAATAAAACAATTTTGTGCTTCAAAGGAAAACATACAAAAGCAAAAAGCAAATCCACAAGCCCTAACTGGTTTGGCTCAGTGGATAGAGTGTCAGCCTGCAGACTCAAGGGTCCCGGGTTTGATTCCAGTCAAGGGCATGTACCTCGGTTGTGGGCACATCCCCAGTGTGTGTGTGTGTGTGTGTGTGTGTGTGTGTGTGTGTGGAGGGGGAGGAGGGAGAGGATGTGTGTGTGTGGAGGAGGCAGCTGATTGATGTTTCTCTCTCATCAATGTTTCTAACTCTCTCTCCCTCTCCCTTCCTCTCTATAAAAACATCAATAAAATGTATTTTTTTAAAAGAAATTCCACAAAATGGGGAAAATTTTTACAAATTGTATTTCTGATAAGGAACTTATACCCAGACTGTAAAAAGAACTCTGATAACTCAATAATTAAACCAATATCCAAACTTAAAATGGGCAAAGGATCTAAAGAAGTAGCTTGCCAAAACCGGTTTGGCTCAGTGGATAGAGCGTCGGCCTGTGGATTGAGGGGTCCTGGGTTCGATTCCGGTCAGGGGCATGTACCTTGGTTGTGGGCACATCCCCAGTGGGGGGGGGGTGCAAGAGGCAGCTGGTCGATGTTTCTCTCTCATCGATGTTTCTAACTCTCTATCCCTCTCAATTCCTCTGTGTAAAATCAATAAAATATATTTAAAAAATAAAGAAATAAAAATTAAAAAAAATAAAGAAGTAGCTACTATACAAATGGCCATTAAGCACATACAAAATGCTAAACAGACATGTGGAAATGCAAATGGAACCACAATGAGATATTTCTTTATACCTTATAAGGATGGCTATAATTTTGAATAAAGAAAAGAACAAGTGTTGGCAAGCATGTAGGGAAATGATTTCTCCTACATCACTGGCAATAAAATGGTACAGCCAGTTTGGAGGACAGTCTGGCAGTTCCTCAAAGGATTAAATACACAAGCACCATATGAGCCAGCAATTCCACCAAAGAGAAATGAAAACACGCATCCAAACAAAAACTGCAAGAATGTTCACAGTAACACTATTCTTTTTTTTTTTTTTTACAACTTTTTTTTATTGTCTAAAATTTTATGTTTCTTTTTTCCCCAACTGACCCCCCCCCAAGCCATTCCCACCCCAGGCAAGCCCCCACTGCCCCAGTGTTTGTGTCCATTGGTTATGTTAATATGAATAAAAGGCCGAGACCGGTTTGGCTCAATGGATAGAGCATCGGCTTGGGGACTGAAGGGCCCCCGGGTTCGATTCCGGTCAAGGGCATGTACCTTGGTTGTGGGCATATCCCCAGGAGGGGGTGTGCAAGAGGCAGCTGATCGATGACTCTCTCTCTCCCTTCCTCTCTGTACAAAATCAATAAAATATATATATTTTAAAATATATGCATAAAAGTCCTTTGGTTGCTTTCTAACCCTTCTCCCCTACCATTTGTCTCTAGATTGATCTATTCTTGTTTATGAAACTACATTGATCATATCCCACATATGAGTGAGATCATGTGATATTTATCTTTCTCTGACTGGCTTATTTCGCTTAGCATAAAGTTCTCCAGTTCCATCCATGTTGTTGCAAATGGTAAAAGTTCCTTCTTTTTTATAGTGACATAGTATTCCATTGTGTAGATGTACCACAGTTTTTTAATCCACTCATCTGCTGATGGACACTTAGGGTGTTTCCAAATCTTAGCTATGGTTGATTGTGCTGCTATGAACATACGGGTGAATATATTCTTTCTGATTAGTGTTTCTGGTTTCTTGGGATACAGTCCTGGAAGTGGAATTACTGGGTCAAATGGGAGTTCCATTTTTAACTTTTTGAAGAAACTCCATACTGTCTGCCACATTGGCTGCACCAGTCTGCATTCCCACCATCAGAATAGCACTTTTCTTAATAGCCAAAAAAGTAGAAATAATCCGTAAGTCCATCAACTAGTGAACGGATTAAAAAAAAAAGGGGGGGGGGTGCATTCATAAAATGGAATATTATTTGGCCCTAAAAAGAAATGAAGCACTCACTGGACTACAATGTGGGTGAGCCCCAAGGAACATAACGCTCAGTGATAGAAGCCAGACACAAAGAATCAAGTGGTCTGATTCCATTTACATGAAATGTTCAGAACAGACAAATTATATATACAAGCAGAAGGTACAACACAGGTTGCCTAAGCTGAGAAAATAAAGGCTGAGGGGAGGCTGATGAGAACTGGGAGGTGGTGGCTTAGGGGAACAGTTTCTTTCTGGCATCACAGTGTCCTAAAACTGACTGTGGTGTTAGCTGCAAATATACTAATAGCCACTGAATTGTACACTTTTTTTTTTAATATATTTTATTAATTTTGTACAGAGAGGAAGGGAGAGAGATAGAGAGTTAGAAACATCGATGAGAGAGAGTCATCGATCTGCTGCCTCCTGCACACCCCCTACTGGGGATATGCCTGCAAGCAAGGTACGTGCCCTTGACTGGAATCGAACCCGGGACTTTTCGGTCCCCAAGCCAACGCTCTATCCATTGAGCCAAACCGGTTTCGGCTGAATTGTACACTTTAAAACGTACACTTTAAATATGTGAACTGTATGGTATATAAATTACATCTAAAAAATCTGTTTTTAAAATATCTGAAAAAAACATAAAATTAAAATAAACCCTTGATATTTGACTGGAAAAGAAGGCACAGGTGTGACCTAAACTGCTTTTAATATACACATAGATAAAAATAAATGTGTGAGCATTCCATAGCTCTGCCCAGTAAAAGAGCCTAGAAGCAGTTTCCCAGCCCAATAGCACTTCGAGCACTCCTATGACCCAAATCTTAATTTCTAAATACCACTTTCCACTAAAAGAAACCAGGGCTCCTTGGGAAAATGGCTGATTTGAGGGCTGGAACATGGAAAAGACAAGATGCTCCCAGAACACCTTGTGCCAGAAAATAAGGAAGTTGGTCAAAGAATGGCGAGACACATCAAAAGAATTCAAAAGAAGCCAGCCTGAAGTTCTCACAAGCAAAATACGGGCCAATCGGGGCATCAAATAAAATGACAGTAATAGATTAGAGCCAATGCACTAAAATTTTCCAAAGATAGTGAAACAGTATCTTCCATTCCACGTGCTCTTTCTCAAATATCACTTTGATACTCTTTCCAAAAAGTAAGGGCATTTATGCCCCCACCCCATGAACCTGGGCAAAACTTTATGGCTGCCTTACCTAATAAAGAATGGCAGAATTAACGCCAATGACTTCCAAGGCTACACTATAAAAATGCCACACTGCTGCCTATCCTCTGGGGACCATCATGCTGGAATCCACACACGATGTTAGAGGAAGCTAAACTAGCCCAACAGAGACTACACAGAGATATTCTACTATATGTGCGAGAAAAGATGCCACTAAGGCCCATCAGTCAAGTCAACCCCAGCCTTTGAGTCTTTCCAGACTGAGACCCAGACATTGTGGAACTCCTGATCCAAAGAATTATTGAGGTTTTTAAATAAAATGTTTTATTCTACCAAGTTTTGGGATAGTTTGGTATACAGCAATAACCAAAACATAACCCACTAGAATATAAACTTAATTCCATGGTATTATAATTAAATAAATTAAAAGCTTGATGAGAAAAACTCTGGGGAGGGAGGGTATGTATGCGAGGGGGGCCAATGTTAAAATATGTACACAGATAATAATTTAATTAAAAAATAAATAAATAAAAGCTTGATGAGAAATGGAATATTTACATGGTTTCCAAGCACCTACTCCCAAAATACTTAATAATCAAGAAAAAAGAGTAATTCACAGAAGTCTGGCAAACGAACCCAAATTAAGAGACTCTGTAAAAAAACAACTAACTTTTAATACTCAAAAGTGTCCAGGTCATACAATATAACATTATTCAGAATAGCCAAAATGTGGAAACAATTCACATGTCCATCAGATGACCAATGAATAAACAAATGTGGTATATCCATACAGCAGAACGAAAAGCACTATTTAGCAATGAAAAGCACTAGGTACTAATAGATGCTATAACACATATGAATCTTAAAAGCATAATGCTAAAAGAGGATGGTACAGAAGTCCTCATATTGTCTGATTTCGCTTACAGGAAATCAAAAAAAGACAAATCTACAGAGATAAAGGGTAGCTTAACAGTTGGCCAGGGTGGGAAGAGGTACTGACTACAAACGAATGAGGTTTGGGTTGGGTGGATGCTGGAAATGTTCTAATATCAGATTGTGGTGAGGTTGTACAACTTTGTGAATGTATTTAAAAATCAATGAATTATACACTTAAAAAGATCATGGAAGGAAAAACTAAGGAACTGTTCCAGATCAAAAGAAACTAGATAACTAAATATAATGTGCAATTCTATCTAGATTCTTTTACTTTAAATATTATTGGAACTGGCAAAACTTCCATAGTGATAATGTATTTATTTCCTGATTTGATGGTTGTGTTCTGGATATGTAGGAGAATGTTCTTATTAGAGATAACAGACAATATTTGGGGTAATGTGGCATCTTGTTTGGCAACCTATTTTCAAATGATGGGGGGAGGGTTTTTTTAATTGTATTTCCGTAAATCTGAAATTATTTCAAATGAAGTTTTTAAATGTGTAAACTATAAAAGCTAAAAATAAAATTCATAAAATTTGAATTAAAGAAATGTTAGGTAATATAATGAATGCCAATTTTAATTACAGAAAATAACTTTTAAAGATTTATAATATTCACTAGTGAAGTAGAAAAATTATAATTTCTACATGTTTAGAGAGTAATTTGGCAGTATCTCCCAAGATTTTAAATGACAACTTCTACAAGTCAGCAATTCCCCTATGCACCCTTGCTAGGAATCCCCAGAGGAACCAGTTTATACATCTTTCATTGCATTCATCTATGCTGTAATTACCTATTTTCTCTATTAGACTAAACTTCAGGACAGGAATCATGTTTTATTTGCATGGCTGGGCCTATCACAGAGCATAATATATAGCAAATGTTTATAATAAATTAAAAAGGGTAATATAAAACATTAAGACTCATGAGACATGTGAAAGGGCTATGGAGATTCAAAACGGAACGGCTATGGAAGCTTACAGAGGTGGAGGCCAAGATGTTCCAGGTGAACACATCAGCATAAAAAATGACTGAGGTGAAGAAGGAAAAGTGTGAATATATTTAGCAAAAGGTCAATTAAGCCAATGTTGATCAATGTCTCTCTTATCGTTGTTTCTCTCTCTCTTAGAAATCAATAAAATCATACTTTAAAAAAGGTAAATACACTGAATTGGGTTCCAGTCTTCAACAGCATCTTCTAACAGAGGAGCTGTCAAGAACCTCATGATGGCTCTCTTTACAAAGTATGTACAGGTGACTTTCTAGCCCACACTGTCGTATTTAGCCAGAGCAAGGCTCAACAAAAATTTCTATGATATTCTTTCTACTCAATCAGACTTGCTTTCGTTTCCTCCTTAAAGTTCCACTATCCTCTGTATGCTAAGGAAGTTAAATTTGTTGCTTGCAAATAAGTCTGGCCTTATCTAGCAAGCACTAATCTTATTACAGGATTCTGAGAAGCATGGAGAAGAGGGATTGGTGAACTTGCCTGAGCAGCGGTTTTAGAACAGGCTGAGTTCATAGGCTGGTTCCTGGAGTTTACTGAAGAATGGCTGACTCAGGAAGATACTGAAATGAAGCTGTGATTGAGCAAATTTAAATAGACTCTACAGTAACCTATTCAAGACTTAGGAACAAGGCCAAGGAATTGTCAGTCTTCTGTTTTATACTTGGAGAATAGTCCCAGCCAATGTGGCTCAGTGGTTGAGCATCAACCTATGAACCAAGAGGTCATGGTTTGATTCCTGGTCAGGGCACAAGCTCGGGTTTGGGGCTCGATCCCCAGTAGGAATAGCTGATTGATGATTCTCATCATTGATGTTTCTATCTCTCTCCCTTTCTCTCTGGAATCAATAAATGTGTATATACATACATACATACATACATACAGACATATGTGTGTGTGTGTGTGTATTCCCAAAGGTTCATCTGCTGTTGCTTTTAAAAAATTTGAATAGTAAATATTTTTTAAATATGTATTTTTATTATTTCAAAGTAAGGAGAGGGGAAAATAGAAACATCAATGATGATAGAGAATCACTGATTGGCTGCCCTCTCCACACCCCCACTGGAGATCGGGGCAACTGGAGTATGTGACCGACCACACCAGCTTGAGACCTAATGGGAAGTGTCCCCATTTCCTCATCATTGTTATTGATTCCCCCAAAACAAGCATTAAAAAAACTTTCCCTTGCCCTGGCTGGTTTGGCTTGGTGGATGGAGTGTCGGCCTGTGGACTGAAAGGTCCCGGGTTCGATTCCAGTCAAGTGAATGTACCTTGGTTGCAGGCACATCCCCACTGGGGGGTGTGCAGGAGGCAGCTGATCAGTGTTTCTAACTCTCTGTCCCTCTCTCTTCCTCTCTGTAAAAAATCAATGAAATATTTTTTTAAAAAAAACTTTCCCTTTTTAGAAGTTTGCTAATGTTTAAGGGTAACAAAAAAAAAAAAATAGGTAAATTATAAAAGTTTCATAACCTTTCAAGAGATCTGTTCTATTGTTGCCAATCACTTTGGGGAAAAGAAGCTGAGTTTTACCATAATTTTTCATTCCAAAATACTATACTTTTTATCCATTCTAAGATGCAAGATACCATTCAAAATATCTAGTGGGTTTACCAGGAAAGAAATTGTTCGCTGTATTCATATTTATAGATCCTCTAACGATGCTGTTCTCCATATATTTTAGTACTCAGTTAAATCTGTACATCTGAAAAAAAACAAAAAAACCCACAGGCTAATTAATGCAGCTGCACTAATCTATCTCAGTTCACACTAAATTAATTTTAATTTCATAGTGTGGTAAACATGGACCTACCAAAATGTCCACTGATATGTACCAGAAACTGTTATTTCCTAAAGAGGCACTTAAAGGGTTTTCCTTTGTTATTAGTATCATGACCATTTAAATATATTCCATTATGTAAAAAAAAAATAAAAAAATACAATATTCTAAAATATAAAGTCAATCAGATAATAAATACCTTTTAAGCAACAGAACTTTCGTTTGAGTTCCGGTGGAATCTAACTTTAAAAAAATTTCACTTGAGAGGCAACACAGCACAATGATCTCACCAGCAAGGATTCTGGAGCCACTCTGCTCCAGTTCCAATCAACTCCACAGTTTACTAGTTGTGCAATCTTTCCCAAATTACTTAATCCTTGGGCCTTAGTTGCCTACCTGTGAAACAGGGAAAGTGCAACCTACTCCATGAAGGAGTTGTGAGGATGCATTAATACAAGAAAAGCACTTAGAATATCGCATTGAGTTTGCTATGAACCTAATTCCAAAAATCGATATGAAATGCACAAGCATTGGAATAGGGGCTTAAAAAATACACACACACACACACACACACAAAACGTATGCCTTAAGCCTAGCCGGTTTGGCTCAGAGGATGGAGGATTCACCTGCAGATTGAAAGGTCTGTGATTGGTTCCAGTCAAGGGCAAATACCTCCGTTGGGGGCTTGATCCTGTTCCCAGTCAGGGCAGCAACCAATTGATGTCTCTCACATTGATGTTTCTCCCTGTCTCTTCCCCTCCTTTCCACTTTCCCTAAAATCAATGGGAAAATATCCTCGGTGAGGATTAACAAAAACAAGAACACAGGCTCAACCAAGTCCCTGCTCCAAACGAAAGAAAGTTTGTTCACTATCTGGCCAACTCTCCAGGAGCACCTCTAAGTTGGGTTACATTACTTGACTCCCACCCAGAGATGAACACGCACTTTCCACGACCCTGTTTTCCACGATTCTCCCTCCCCCAAACGCTCTCCACAGCAACGCCTACCTAGACTCCAAGCCCAACTTTTTGATAAACACTGCACATCTTCGCATCACAGCGAGTTTCAATAGCGCGAGTCTCTCATTCAAATGCAAAAAAAAAAGTAATAATAGTTAAAATATGTAATAATTTCCCATTATGCAACTGGGCATTATTTGAACTGGCAGTTACAATCTCGGACATTCCAAAGCCAAATGTTAGGCAGAAATTTTGCAAACAATCTATGTCCACGCAAGTCGGCACCGGCAAATGAAAAGTTAAAATTTTAATGTGAACACCTGCATGTAAATCGTCAATAGTCACATCAGACCATCCAAGGTGAAGAAACGGGTTCACGCAGCCCTTTCCTTCTGGGGTGAAAATACCACGGGGCAGGCTAAGGAGCGGCCGCATCCTCACGGCCCACTTTCGCGGTCACTCAAGGCCGGTCCGGGGCCAGTCCGAGAAGAACCGGGGCTGCGCGGGGTGCGCTTTGCAGGAGCCGCCCTACCACCCCCACATCCCGGGGCCGCCCCCCTCCCCCGTCCCCGTCCCCCGCCTCCACTCACTGTCCCCCCCAGTCCCAGCCCTTCGTCTCCCGCCCCGGCCTCGCGGCCCCCGCCCCGCCCCGCGGCGACCACCCCGGTCCCACGTGACACGGAGGGACGACCGGCGCCGTTCGGGCCGCGAACCCGCCGCCGAAGAACGCCGCGGGATTCGTGAGGCGGCCGCGGGTGTGGGCGGGACGGGGCGGAGCCGCCGCCGGGACTTCGCGGGCCCGGTCGGTCGGGGGCGTCGTCGCGGGGCCGGACCGGGGCGTACCTACCGCTGGGCGCCCGGAGCGCCGCCGCCTCTCGCCGCCGCCTCTCGCCGCGCCCCGCCCCGCCGGGGCCCACGCCCGCCTCCGCCCCGCGCGGCGGGACCCCCGCCTCGGCGCGCGCACACCCCCGCGCGACCCTGTCCCCTCCTCCCAGCTCGGCCAGAAAGAGAAAATGGCGCTCGATTTGCCTCCGGAAGTGACGCATGCACTCATTTGCATGTCGGTGCAGTCAGCCAATAGGATGAGAGGATGCGTGGGACCCCTGGGCCGGGCCTCACAGACCCCTTGGGGACCTTGCCTAAAGCTGGACTGGAGCCTCTGTGGGGGGAGTGGTGATGTCCTGCAGGAGCCCCCTACCTTGACACCCCTTCTGCCACAGTGGACTGGCCCTCTAGTCCTTTACCAGCATCTGTGCAAACTCTCGTGAGAGTTTGAGTGGATAATGACGTCATTGAAGGGGTGGGGCAATTGGGTCATCAACCACGTGGCCAATCACGTGAGCTCCCTATATCTTTGACCTCATTTGCATGGAATGGGGATGGAGCTACGGTAGTAGCTGCAGCAGGAATGGGTAGCCACGCCCACATGTCAGAGCCAATAGGAAGCTAGCTATGAAGAGAACCCTGCCCTGCCATTGGACAGTAGAACTTGGGCTATCAGAACTTTTACAAGTGTGCCCTTGATTGGCTCATCTTGGTGAACTGACTGGATGGGGGTCTCCTGACTATTCTAAAAAAATTTGTCACACCTTTTCTTGAGAAGTCTGATTTTTAAGTTAGAGCCACTGTATGTTTTGTAAGTTAATTACATACATTTGTAAAAACTAAATGGCCTTAAAATTCACTTTGCCCAGATTCATTAAATACTGTGAAGCAATAATATATTTTTCAAAACGAATGAAAACATGGAGTAGGAGCTTTCAAAATGGCTTTGGATCTTCTTTGAATCAAGCGCCCTCAGGGAGCTTGAAGTTTAATGAAGCCAGGTGTGTATATTAACACCTACTTTTATTTATTGGGTCCCTGTCCTAGTCCCTAATGACTATTCCAGACCTTTCTCACTTCATCGAAGCTCCCTGGCAACAACACCCTTCCTCAACTTCCTTTTCAGTGGAAGGTCATGTCTTCTTCTACTTCTTCCAGAACACTAAGACCATCAGACTTGGTGTTTTCAACTTCCCAGCTCCTACATGCACACCTCTTTCCTCAATAATCATCCTTAGAGCTAGTTTCAGAGGCTATTTCTGCCCACATAAGTGAGCTGGTCCATCCATTGTTGGGCTTTATCTGTCTGCCATGCTGGCACCTCATTGTCAAGTCATCCCATGGTGGTCCCCTTCCCCACCTCTACTGGTTGATACCTTCTGCTCAGTTTTAGCCTAGAAACTAAAAACGTAACAGGCACTCAATAAATGTCTGACTTATCATAATTGAAGGACAGCATACTTTTTTTAAACTTATGAATTGTGATTTAATTTGATAATGAATTACAGGAAATGGATACAATATCCCCATATGTATCTCTAAAAATTTATGGGTGTGATGAAAAGTAAAGTCAAAGCCTTCCAGTCCATCATAATCCAATGAGAGCATTGTATTACACCTCTCCAAAGAACACCTCTGCTCCCTCCACTCTTCAATCTGGTGTTCTCTCACCCGCACCCTCACCACTCTATAGAAATGCTTGGCCACCAGTCAACTACCTATTGAACAGATTTGTTTCTCATCTATTTGTAACCCCTCTCCCTTTCCTGAAGTCCTCACCTCCCTTAACATGCCCTTTAATCTTCTCCAACCTCTCCTTGCATCTTCATCAGCTTTCCTCATACCACTCTGGAATGCTGGTCTATTGGGTCCTGCCCACTTTTGTTCATTTTCCAACCACATTCATTACCTGCATTCCTTGTGCCAAGGACTAATACTGTATTGAAAAATAATACTGTATTGAAAAATCCCATGCCTTTCATTTATTGCTCTGCATCATAACTGCAGATTCAAACTTCATATTTCAATTCCAACTCAATATATCCATCTCTTCCCTAAGTTTTTATTATTTTTTTGGCTGCTGATTGGGCAGCTCCACTTGGGTGTCTCACAGTTACCCCAAATTAAAAATGATCAAAACTGAACCCATCATCCCCTCTTCAAGAGCCTCTTTT